CCAAACCGTAAACCCCAAACTCCTAAACCCTAAAACCTGAACCCCAAACTCGCAAACCCTAAACCCCAAACTCCTACATCCTAAACCCTAAACCCCAAACTCCTACATCCTAGACCCGAAGCCCTCAACCTTCGTTCTTTCGGGCCGAGACACGCAAGTTCAGCCTGGACGGCGTGCGGATTATGGTTGCTTCCGGGATCGTGGGACTGAGAAAACAGAACAATAAGTACCTCAACTGATTAACGGAAACTACAGGTGGGGAGTTTAGGGTATATAGAGCTTCTATAAGGCTTCTATAAAGAAAATAGACCTTCTATAAGGCTCCTATAACGGTAACTACCCACCTGAACATGTCCTAGAAATTGAGAATATAGGAAGTTTAAGGCTATAACTACCTTACTTCTCACCTTACTTACTACATCCCCCCGATCCTTTCAGTGCGATTTCTGGCTCTTGGGAACTCCCATGACTTACATGGGGCTAACTTCGAGGTTCATGGGTAGTTATAAGTAGAGGCATAAGTAGGGCTCCTGTCAGGGGTTAGGGGGCAGTTTTAAGTAGGGCTGCAAGCTAGGAGAACCAAAGCTATAACCTGTATCAGGGGACTTATGTCTCCACTTATAACTACCAATTGAACCTCCAAGTAAGCTCTAGGTTCTAGAGGCCTTAATGATTACCTATACTATTTTGGGGGTTCCTGAATATAATTATAGTATCATATACCCGAAACCCTATTCTAACTGTTCAGGCCCCTATATGTGTGTTGAATCAAGGTTTACCGACCCCTGGCCCCCAAAACCGACAGCCTGTAAATTCTAGAATCCCCAAACGGATTTAGGGTTTAGGGTTTAGGCCCTAGAACCCCAAGACAGCCTGTAAACCCTATAATCTCAAAACCTAAACCCTAAGCCCGAAACCTTAAAACCTGAACGTTACTCCCCATGCCCTACGCCCAAAAACTTCTTGAAGCCCAACAGGCTGAGGGTTTGAAGCTACGTTAAGGTACTTCACATCTGCATGGGTTCTAAATTTCACATCTGCGGCACGTACAGGACCCAACTGCCAAAATACGCAGCTGGCCGCCCGGACAGTTGAAAAACAGAAAACGGTCCCCGCATGAAATTGAAACTTCCTCAAATAAAGGACTCCAATAGTGACCCTAAACCCTAAACCCTAAACCCTAAACCCCTAAATCGTTAATAGTAGCCCCCAAGGCCGAAGCCCTAAACCCCAAACCGTAGGATCCTGTGATACGGTTGCTGATATAAATCCTGCATCACCCATAGCAAGGGCTTTACCATAATTCCCATAGTTTAGGGCCCGTAAGGTAATGCAGGAAATACATCCTAAACCCTAAACCCTAAACCCTAAACCCTATATCATCAACAGTACTGACGCCAGTGCTGAGTTACCGGCAAGTCCAAGCAAAGCCCACGCGAGCACGATTTGGCCCAAGGCCCTTCTGGCCACCTAAGCTGAGGATCTAGGGTGCAGTGTTTGGGTTTAGGGTTTTAGGGTTTAGGGTTTAGGGTTTAGGGTTTTAAGGTTTAGGGTTTAGGGTTTAGGGTTTAGGGTTTAAGGTTTAGGGTTTAAGGTTTAGGATGTATTTCCTGCATTACCTGATAAGGACCCTAAACTATGGGAACTATGGTATGGGTACTGCAGGATTTATAGCATCAACCGTAGGAAGTTTAGGGTATAAGGCCTAGGGTTTAGGCTGTCGGTTATTCAGGAGTTAAGGTGTAGTCTTTAGGGTTTTGGTCCTACACCCTAAATCTTTAGCCACCTATAAGGTTCAGGGTCGGCAGGTTAGGGGTTAAGGCTGATTGGTCCATGCCTATAGGGGAAGCATACCTCAACTACGGGTTTAGGGTTTGCTGTCCTAGGTTTAGGAATTAGACTTTCTTTGTTTTGGGATATAGGGTTTAGGGTCTACTGTTTCAGATGTAGGTCCAGTCTTTAGGATGCAACAGTCTTGGTTACGGTTCAGAGCTTTGGCCGGCTATGGTCTCCCTTTGCCCACCCGCCGAGTCGGCAAGCGCACTTGGCCTGCCCCAGACCCAAACCCCTAAATGGGTTACGAAGGTTATGAGCAGGGCAAGGCAGGGCAGGGCAGGGCAGGGCAGGGCAGGGCGAGGAAAGGGAAGGGGAAGGGAAGGAAAGGGAAGGAAAAGGAAGGAAAGGGAAGGGAGGGCAGGGCAGGGGGGGGCAGCATGAATATGGTGCCGGAAAGAACGTGTTCGGATATGTGTGGGGAGGAGCTGGCATAGCGGTTGCCTGCGGCTTACTTGCCTTGAACACTGATAGACTAACTTCCACGACAGACAAACCCTCACCCCCAAGTTTAAATCCCGACATCCGATCCTTAAACTTACACCCTATGCACAGCCTGAAAGCCTCAACCACTAAACTCCCCTAAACCCTACCTAAACTCCTCATTAAACCGCAGGTCCAAGCTGCGCCATGGTAAGGGCGAGACATTGCACAGCCGGCCTGAGCGACAGCGCAGAGCTCCGAATCTATGTAGGGTTGGCTGGCGAGGGCTTTATGAGTTTGCCGCAGTCCCGTAGAGGCTTCAAACATCCAAAAATGGTGGGTGAGCATAGAAGTATACCCCTGAACCCTAAACCCTAAACCCTGGGGAGGAAGGCAGGGAGCCTTTCTGGGAAATGTAGGGGCCTTTATAATTAGAATAGGGTTTTGGGGCCCAGTATACTATATTTCTGATAAGGAGCCCGAAAGAATATTGGCAATTATTAATTTAGTCCCTATGTGATCGAGGTCTAGGGTTTAAAGCATTTTCTGCTTAGGCCGTGACCTTGTATTATACAAAAGTGTGCATCTTTCATGTTCAGAACAGCCCGGTTTAGGGTTGAAGATATAGGAGTAAATCTGAATCAGATGCGCCTTACCTCACCGAATTGTTGTGGCAAAGACCACCTCTACCTGGGGATACCCACTTAATCCAGCCTATAGCATCCTAATTAAGCGTTTGTCACAACTTTTGGGTTCTGGCCTAACCAGGGTGATTCGAGGAGTCTGGTGGCATACAGGGGTCGACTGACATGCTGGTAACCGTAGCAGCCGGGGCACTATGATAGTCGTGAAAGCAACAGTCACAATAATCCATCAGATTGGGTAGTGGCACACGAAATGATCTTGTGGGGTATCGATTCGGGCATCGATTGCCTCGCCTCATATCATACCACACCGACAATTTACGCACAAATGCGGCGGCAATGAAATGTCACAACAAATGTTGATCGTATCGCTTGGGGGAGTCCTACAGTATCGTGTTTCGAGGGCTGTGGTCAATACCGGCATTCCAAGGTCACCCCGCTCTTAACTCCCCGTCCGGACGTTTTGACGGATGCTCATATAAACCCTAAACCCTAAACCCTAAGCCCTAAACCCGAAGCCCTAAACCCTAAGCCCTAAGCCCTAAACCCTAAACCCTAAACCCAATAACCCAGCGACCAACGTTCCAAGCCCCGACATCGAACTCTTCGGCCGGTCGCGCGACTTCGCCCAAAACTCAAGCGTCGGCCCCTGCACCAATGACACCGGCGCAGGACCCTAAACCCTCAAAACCCTAAAACCCTCAAACCCTAAAAACCCCAAAACCCTCAAACCCTAAAAACCCCAAAACCCTCAAACCCTAAAAACCCCAAAACCCTAAAAACCCTAAAACCCTAAACCCTAAACCCTAAAACCCTAAACCCCAAAACAACCTAAAACCCTGAACCAAAAACCTCAAGCCCCACCAAACCATCACCTCTCTAAGTCGCCAGCCCCCATTCAAGCCTAAATCTCGCCCGTCTTTTGCCCTTTCCCCTGAGATTCTGCAACCCTGAAAATTGAACCCTCAACCCCACGCCCTGAGCAATTCTTGCAGGAGCTAGGATTTGGGGGACCCTTGGGGATATAGACCCTCTCAATAAGGTCCCTTTTAAGAGAGCCAAAAGTAGTGTTCAGAAGGGGTACCCTTCAAGGGTACCCCTAAACCCTAAACCCTAAACTACCTATCTTGAGCCAAGTCTCCTGTAGAACCGGAGGCACAGTCGCCCGAGGGCTCTGGACTAGGAAAGCCAACAAAAGCGGCGGGAAACGCCCCGTCTGCAGGTTGCAGAGATTAGGGCTTATGAGATTAGGGGCTTAGGGGATTGAAGGTGAAGGGATTTAGGATTTGGGGTCGAGGGTTTGGGGGCTCTGCTTGGAGGTTCATGGGTAGTTATAAGTAGGGCTATAAGTAGGGTAACTGTGGTTATAACCTATATTAGGGGACTTGTAACTCCACTTATAACTACCCATGAACCTCCAAGTGGGGCTTCAGGGTGTTAGGGCTTCAGAGTTTGAAGTCTTTTAGGATTTAAGGTTTTAGGTTGAGGGCACGGGACAAAATGTCAGCTTTAGCAGAGTAGCACAGATCGCCCAATCCTACTGATGGCGGCAAGGAAAAAAGAACAGTTGATGAATCACAGCTCCTACTTATTATAAGCCCTTGTCGATCGCGCTTTGCGTTTCGGTGGACTCCGCGTGCTTCTGCAAGGCGGTAACCCAAACCCAAAGACCTACAACCTAGCACGAATACCATAAACTACCCCGCCCCTAAACCCTGAACCTTAAACCCTAAACCCTAAACGCTAAACCGTTCTAATCTTTGAAGCTCCCAGTCGGGATTTGTATCTCAAGCCTCGAATTCTCACAGGGGCTCGAGAACCCGATTACCAAGACGGCCTTGGTTTAGGGTTTAGACGCCAAGCCACGAAGCCCTCGACTGAAAGGGGGTCCACGGCTGGGATAAGGGTAGGTGGAGGAATCTTAAAAAGCGTCCTTATAGGAGTTATGTTATATAATGCTAAACCCTAAAATAAAGGTAAGTGGAGGACAAGTTATATAATCCTTAACCCTAAAATAAAGGTAGGTGGAGTAATCCCAAATAAGAGTCCTTATAGAAGTCATATAATGCTATATAGTCCAAAAACCCCAAAAACTAAACCCTAAACCTTATTTAAGTTATACAATCCTAAACCCCAACCCCTTGTAAGGGTTCCGGTTTGTTGCATCCTTTCAAAGCACTTAAAATGACCTAAAAGGTCTCCATGCACCGACCGTGCACAGAGGCCATCCGGGCCCGCCACCACCCAGAAGTTTCGGAAGAAGGGTGGCAAGATATCCTGCCATCAGTTGCAGGACATGTCATAGAAAGACACAGAATGTACAGAACCCATATCCCCCATAAGCCCTATCTCCACTGACCAAAATTGTTCAAACAAAAACCGAGTTGATGTGGGGTAAGGCATTCAGGATGCACGGGCCAGCACGCCTCAGGCATTGAGGGCTTTCAAGCGATTTGGTTCAAGATTGGGGCGAAGTCTCATCAGTCGGTTGTGGTATGTTTAGGAGTTCAAGGGTTAGGGTGGAGGGCCTGTGTAGGGTGAGAAAGGCCTAAGTGCTTGATTGTTCAAGAGCCTCTCATGAAGGGCATACTAAGATAAATCAACTCACAACCGAATCAACTCGCACCCGAATTTCAACACCGACATCAAGCACGACTCAACGGACCCCTTAGCATAACAAGAGAAGCCCTCTTGAACTGAAGGTCCATTCCTTAATTCAAGGCTGTTCAGCTACTGGGATTCAGCTCGAAAGGCTTATTGTTGACTGTTCAGGGTTTAGGGTTTAGGGTTTAGGGTTTAGGGTTTAGGGTTTAGGGTTACAGTTCTGGATTCATGTAGGGGCCTTCAAACTAGAATAGGGATTTGGCGGCTCCTTCTTATAGTTATAGCATAATATATCCCCAAACCCTATTCTAATATTCTAATATTAAGGCCCCTATATTCTTCCAACAGTGCGGAAGGATGCGCAAGGGGTGCCCTCGCGGAGTAGAGAGCTCTCGAGGCACAGCATGCTCTGCAGCGGTGCCTCACGGATGTAGCTTGGCTCCACACCTTCCGTGGCCACGCACTGCTTCACCACCTGAATATGGTTGATGGTTCAGGGTTTAGGAAAGGGTTTTGGAGTTTAGGATGGCTTGCGCTCGAGGATCGCCACGGGTGATTGACAAAATTCAATTTTTTTGGGGGGTAGCAGTAGCTAACTCCACTAGACCCTGAACCCTAAACCCCAAACTCTAAACCCTGAAACCCCCAAAAATTAAAAACCGCACAAACCCTAAACCCTAAACACAAAACCCTAAACCCTAAACACTAAGCCCCAAACCCTAAACCCTAAACCCGAACTCCAGCCTTGTCTTTAACCCCAAACTAAGCCTGAAAGCCTGGACCGAAACGCTCGGAGCCACGGTCTGAAACCTGAACCATACAACTGCCTTTGTTGAGGGTTTAGGGTTTAGGGTTTAGGGTTTAGGGCTCAGGGTTAGGGTTTAGGGCTTAGGGTTTAGGGTTTAGGGCTTTGGGTTTAGGGTTTAGGGTCCTCAACCATGCAACTGCCTTCGTTGAGGGTTTAGGTTTAGGGTTTAGGGTTGCCTTTCTGAGCTCCACAAATCCTTTTCAGGGTTCAGGGTTTCAGGGATTCGGGTTAGGCTTTACGGGGTCTCGGGTCTATGGGAGAGGTTTGAGTGGGTTTCGGGTTGCGATCCAGTAGAACCGTCATTGAATAAAACTGCATTTCAACCTCGTAAGGAAGCCCGCAGAAGCCTTGTATCGTCTTCGTAGCGCTTGCTAGGCACAATCGTTGTAGGATGAAGCCCTAACCCCTAAGCTATAGCTTAACTTAAACCCATAAAACCCCAAACCCTAAACCTTGAAGTGTGGGAGCTTCGAGCTTCGAGCTTTAATGCTGGCAAGGATGAATGGTGCAGGGGCCTTAATAATTCTAATAGGATTTTGGGGTATATTATACTATAAGGAACTCCGAGAACAGTAAAGGTAATTCTTGAGGCCCCTATAGTAGGCCCTTGGTGCTGCCGCCCTTTGCCAGTTCTGGTGCATTAGATCCTCCAGCATCAAAAATGCCTCCAACCTGATAATATAGGGGCCTTAGTAATTCGAATATGGTTTTGAGGCCCTCTATACTATAACTATAATAAGGAACCCCCAAAATAGCACAGGTAATTATTTACGCCCCTACATTACCATGATTCGAGTTTGGGGTTGGGCGTTCGGTGTTGGGGTTCAGGGGTTAGGACGGTTAGGGCTTAGTTTTCAAAGCCTACGTTTTACGGTTTTGGGTTTTCGAGATTTAGGGTCTGAGATCGAGGATCTCATGCACCTTCAGCACGATCTTCTTCATCTCTTCATCTGGCGTGGAGAACTCACGGATCAGGATGATCATGACCTGACGAAACCCCTCAGTACCAAAAGCGTATATTACACATGCACCTACACATATCAACCACAGATATCTAACAGAGTATTCCAAGGCTTGTGCGTGTGTGTCACCACGTAATACAACCGTTACACAACGCTACTCTGCATCGCAAGTACGTCACATTAACATTACATTACATTACATTACATTACATTACATTACATTACACTACACTACACTACACTACACTACACTACACTACATTACTGGACAGTGCAGTACAGTACAGCACATAACACTGCACCACTCCACGACACCGCGGCCCCTGGAAGCTGACTGACGAAGAAGGGGGCAGCTTCAGGGCAGGGTTTCGTGGTTGGCAAGGGGGGTGCAATATGTGCAAAACAGTGCTCTTTATGCAAACATGAAACCCTAGACAAGAAGATTGTTTTTCCTTCTTTAGTGTCTTGTGTCATGGGTATCCTCGAGGGGGACTCCGTATGATCCCTACGATACATGTGGGCCTGAGCTGGTGAATTGGGTGCAGCTTCTCGTGCTTCTGACCCGAAAGTGAACCCCTAAACCCTAAAACCTAAACCCTAAACCCTAAACCAAAAAACCTAAACCCAAAACCCCTAAACCCACCGCACACCGTTAACCCCACCTTCCACTCGGGGAGTCCTAGAGTCCTGGCCCGAGCCACCACCCCCGCCCCCCCGAACACATACCCCTTCGAGGTTTAGGGTTTAGGGTTTAGGGTTTAGGGTGTATAACGGGACCATGATGAGCAACCCTACTTGGAGGTTCATGGGTACTTATGAGTAAGCTTCGAGCATTTGTATAACGAGATCATGATGAGCAACCTAGGGTTTAGGGTTTTGGGTTTAGGGTTTTGAGTTTAGGGTTTAGGGTTTAGGGTTTTGGGTTTAGGGTTTTGGGGTTTTGGGCTTGCCATGGGCGTCTTGTGGAGTCAATTACTTGGAGGTTCATGGGTAGTTATAAGTAGGGCTATAAGCAGGGTAACTATGGTTATAACCTATATTAGGGGACTTATAACTCCACTTTGACTACCCATGAACCTCCAAGTAGCTTGGCACGTAGTTAGTGCTCTCATGGCTAAGGTAAGCCCAAGACTTACTCGTGGCTTTGTCTTGCTCTGGGCTGAAATAGGATATCCGGCCGTTCGCCTCCCGCACAACATCCCCACTTCCCACTCTCTTGCCGGGCATCTACAGCACACTGTAAAAAAAAACAGTGCCCGAATCCGACACAACCCTAGGGAAAGCCTACTTGGAGGTCCATGGGTAGTTATAAGTCAAGCTATAAGTCCCCTAATATAGGTTATAACCACAGTTACCCTACTTATAGCCCTACTTATAACTACCCATGAACCTCCAAGCAGACAAAGGTTCTGTCAAGGCACCTCTCGCGTGTAGTAGTTGGCGTGCTCGGCATCCATCAGGGGGATGATGTAGCCAATGGCCTCCGATTGTTGATGTTTTGGATACTTGTGGGATGAGGGGGATTTAGTAAGTACGACTAGCACTGTAGTCATCATGACTTTTGATCCGGGGCCCCAACCAAAGCACTTGTAACTTGTAACTATAACCTTACCTAGTATGTCCCTACAGCCCCTAGGTCCCCAAACCCGAATCCTGAATGGTTGCTAATGATTTCGCGCTTCTTTGCCACTCGTTAATATTGATAGGTTTTTTGTGACCCTACTCTAAGTTGAATAAGGTGGCAAGGTGCCTCTGTTAGACCGGGCTCTACAAGGGTTGTAGGAGGGTTCTGTATGGGTTCTACACGGATTCTACTGTTGATGATATAAATCCTGCATGTCATCCTGCATTACCTTAAAGGACCCTAAACTATGGGAATTATGGTATTGGGGTATTGTATACTGTAATTATAAAAAGGAACCCCCGCGATAGTATTGGTAACTGTTTTGGCTCCTAGATTGGTTTCGCAGCCAACGACAAAGAGAGCCCCGGACCTTTCCAAAGGGTTTCCTGAATTGCGCGGCCCAAACTACTTGGAGGTTCATGGGTAGTTATAAGTAGGGTTATAAGTAGGGTAACTATGGTTATAACAGTTATAACCTATATTAGGGGCTTATAACTCCACTTATAACTACCCATGAACCTCCAAGTAGGGGCTGTCATCACAAGGATCCTAGAACTAAGGGCATGTACTTTGGGCCCCTTACTGTTCAGCAACGGACATAGGAGCTCCAGCCCAACACGCGGAAGCCTGATCCACATCCGGGGTTTAGGGTTCAGGGTTTACGTTTTAAGGCTTAAACTTAGGGTTTAAGGTTTCGGGTTTCATCCAGAACCCTGAGACTTCATTCCAGTAACAAACATACTTATGCAAGAACCACATGATGAAACTCTCCACATGGCATGAACAACCTTGATACAAAGGACAGCAACCTAGGGACCTAGAGACAAGACGACTTTTCGTCAAGACCTTAGACAAGAGCGGCAAAACATTCCCTACACCCTAAACTCTAAACCTGAAATCCCAAACCCTCAAACCCTCCAAAATCTTCAGGGTTTCCCTACTTGCCCAATATCCTATAGCAACCCAAAAAGGTTAAAGGTCACCTACTCTACTAGTTGGAGGTTCCATGGGTAGTTATAAGTGGAGTTATAGGTCCCCTAACGGCCCTAATATCGGTCAAAACTAGAGCTACCCTATTTATAACCCTACTTATAACTACCCATGAACCTCCAAGTAGAACCTAAACCCTAAACCCCTTAAGGAACCCATTAAAAGGAACCCACTAAGAGTTACTTATAACTACCCATGAACCTCCAAGTATGACCCGTTATAGGATCCCTTAAAGGACCCCTTATACAACCCTCTTATAGATCCCTTAAAGGATCCCTTATAGAACCCTCTTATAGATCCCTTAAAGGAGCCCCCATGAACCTCCAAGTAAGTTTCGGCCCAGGCCTTCAAGAAAGCAGCCAGGCCCTTCCCGCGATGCTCGCAGATGCCTGGCCCGCACAAGACCGCGATTCCAGCTGCAGCCTCGGGATTACTACTGGTGTTTTTTTTACCCTTGTAGGTTCTGTAGGGTTTAGGGTTTAGGGTTTAGGGTTTAGGGTTTAGGGTTTAGGCATTAGGGGTTTGGGTTTTTCGCTTCAGGGCAAGGCTTGAAGCATTCGAGTTCGACTGCCTCTCCCATACGCTTCTGCCGAGGCTCCGAAAGTGTCAGCATTACGGCAAGGACTAGGTTCATCGTAGAATACCCTGAGTAACTCAAGTAGAATATTCTAATATCTGGTTCTGAACTTCCGAAGTTTCTACCCCCAGCCCATGACATGTTGCGACATGCGCCTTTCCACAACGGCCGCAGCACAGTATCGAAGGCCTCAATGCCGTAGGGCATGGCGGCCTTCCATGCATCAGCCATTAAGAGCGTGGCGAAGTATACTGGGATCGTTGGGAACTTACTATGCTGAAATCCCAGACAAGAAGTTTGTGTAGATACATCATGATAGATCCCTTTGTGGTAGCTTACTCGCGGCCATCAACAGCTCAGGAATTGTTCGGAATGCGAAATGGCACACCTTGAAGCCTTGTCGTCAAGGCTTGGGTTGGTGGTGTGATGTTGGAGTCTAACATAATGTAGGTGCCTTAATAATCAGAATCGGGTTTGGGGGGTTCCTTACTAGAGTTATAGTATAATATACCCACAAAACCTTTGCTAATTATTAAGGCCCCTATATTGGCCCGAAGCCCGATTCTAACCCGGAAGGCCCTAACTTCGGAGCAATTTAACATTTTCAGGTTCACCATGCAGCTGACTTCTGGCACCATCCAGTTCCGAAGCCCCAGACGCAGGAGGCCATCGAATCCAAACCCAAGGTGGCAATGGAAATTCTAATCAGACACACACACACACGCACACACACACACACACACACACACCAAAGCCCTCAATTCCTGGAAAACCCTAAACCTGAACCCCAAACCCCAAACCCTAAGCTTTGGCCTCTGCCAGGGCCGCCAGGGCGAGGGCTGTGATGGTGCGCACCTTCTGCTGCTCATCCTGGCACTTTTTTACGCTTCTAGCTTTCTAGGGTTTAGGATTTGAGGTTTAGGGTTTAGGGGTTTAGGGGTTTAAGGGTTTAGGGGTTCAGGGTTTAGGAGTTTAGGGCTTTAAGGTTTAGGGGTTTAGGGCGTAGGGTTTCGGAATCAGGGTTTTGGGGTTTAGGATGGTTTAGGGTGTCGGGCGAGTCGTTTCGAGGCTTCAGGGGTGGGTCTAGGGCATAGCGCAACCTAGAAGAAATTAATAACTTATAGTGTTAGCATGACAAAGTAGCACTTAGCATGCCACAGCAGACTAGTAGAACTCAAAGTGTTGCTGCAAGTGTTTCCCAGCTCTGCTCTAGCAAGTGCTTTGCCGCTACTCACGTGCTTCATTCGAGTATGAAGCGGTTACATCGCTACATGAGACACCAGACATCATAAGATTACGTCGTAGTCAGAGGGACAACAACCCTAAACCCTAACCCTAAACCCTAAACCCTAAAGACAGGGTCCTGGAGGCCGTGGGCGATGATGTCGACCATCTGCTTGAGGTGCGGCAGACAAGCAACGCCCTGAGAAGTGGGAGCAATGCTTGCATTGCCACGGGTTTAGGGTTTATGGTTTAGGGCTTAGGGTTAAGGTTTCGGGTTTAGGGATATGGTTTAGGGTTTAGGGTTTTTCTGGGGCTCAGGGCTCGAAATGACCTCCCTTTCGTCCGTAAGGTCCACTGCCGCAAGCGGAGGCCTAGGCATGAAAGCTGCAGCAGATGCAGCTGCAGGCCGATGCCAACAGCGATACTTAGAATAGGGTTTTCGGGCCCAATAATGCCATGATTATTAATGAGGAACCCCCAAAATCATTTTTCACTCCCCGGAAACCGAAGTCTGCAGCCCCAAGACCCAGTAAGTTAATCTCCACCGAACGCACCCAAGGCACGGGCCCTTAACCCCAGTAATGTAGGGGCCCAAATAATTA